AACCAAGGCAAATGAAGACACTGGGAGGTACACAAAAGCTAAAGACAACGAAGGTAAATACAATTACATACACACTCCTGTAGTAACAGTGATAACAAACCATAGACACATAGGTAAACATGTAAGCTGAACAGATAGGGGAAGGTGAATGGAAATAGTCCCATAGACTATTTTGCACTTGCTGAAAATACAGCTGTGCATAAAGTAGAATATGGAAGCAAGGTTATGAAAATTTCTTAGAATCAAATGCCTTGACAAATAATCACTGGGCTTAGGGATTTTAGAACCATACTCTTGGTAGACCTAGGTAAGTGGACAAAACACAATCCACAATGACCTGCATCCTAGTGATTGGGATCTTCCAAGCTTGTTAGCAGCCATCTCAGGTACAATAATTGATCTCTTCCTGCCAAAAGCAAAAACAAATGAAAAATGAATAAGGTATTCCATTACCATTACCAACTGCTGTATCTTGAGATTACAATAGTAGGTCATGGATGGAATGGAACAAAATTCAAAATCATGAAAAAGACCAGGCTTACTAGTCTGATAGAGACTGGTGAAACCAGTAAGACTTTGGTCCTTAGAGACATACTAACCTGCAGTTGAAGCCCCCATGACTTTTCATTGACACAGTAACTCACTGCCGATGAGTGAATTCCAACTCATAGAGGCCCTCTAGGACAGGGTAGAACTGACCCTGAGTTTCCGAGACTAACTTTTTCAGAGAGTAGAGAGCCCAGACTGTCCCGCAGAGCCACTGGAAGTCTTAAACTGCTGACCTTGTGATTAGCAGCCCAATTCAGAACAGCTATGCCACTGGGCTCCTCAGTCACACAGTAGATAGACCTGTAAAGTGGACAGTAATGCCTGTGAAGAGATCCTCAGAACAGTCAATCGTACAGGATCTAAAGAACGGCATTTGCTCAATAAAGCTCAGAAGTCAAAAAATGGTAGGAAAGAAAGACAATGGAAACTGGGACCCCAGGAAGGCAGTGGGAAGAGTCCTGTCGCAGGAATTGTGACAGGTGTCATGAAACAAAAAATGTACAAATTGTTAGATGAAAAACTAATTTTCTCTGTAAACCTAAGCCACAAAATATAAAAACTAAAATATTTAATACTATTTAGCTCAGAAGGGTTTTGTGTTTGTTTAATATTGAGCGTGTCCTTGGTAATTGTTTTATTTCCTACGGATAGAAACCAGGGAGCACAGGCTTTATTTTTCTAAGTGGTGTAGTGGTTATACAATGGACTGTTAACTCAAGGACAGCAGTTCGAAACCACCAGCTGCTATATGGGAGAAAGATGAGGCTTTGTACGCCTGTAAAGAGTCGCAACCTCGGAAACCCACGGGCAGTTCTGCCCTGCCCTATAGGGTCACTATAAGTCAGAAGTGACTTGATGGCAGTGAGTTACAGAGTTTAAAACTGCAACAGGCTACAAAGAAAAGTATTTCCTTAATAAGGTTTATGCATTTGTGTACCTTCATGAAATAAGAATGTAATGTGCTATGTGTATGATCTGTATTTGCTATTGTATTAAGTAAATATCAGTAATTTAAAGAAGCTCATGGTGTTTCTTTGGCCTATTAAAATCAGGGTATGTCTTTATAATAATATTTTATAATTATTAAAATTTTATTGAAGCCTCATACAACTCTTATCACAATCCATACATCCAACCATTGTGGCAAGCACATTTTTTATTTAAAATATTATTTAAAAAAAACAAAAGCAAAGTCAAAAAAATATTGAAGTCACATACCTATGTAAAACAGATGAAAATATCTGCTCTGTTGTTAAAAGTAGCAATAATGGGTCACAGCAAGTTGTTAACAAATGGTAACTACTGTTACTATCATGAAGATGCCAAGTAAATTTTTAAAGATTGTACAATAAATGATACTCCACAGATTGAAAAATAAAAATCACATGATGTCAAAAATAAATAAATAAAACTTTTAAATGAAATCAAATCACACTGTCTTCTGGTAGCCCCCTTACCTGTGCACCAGTTCTACCTGCTCCTTCATAGAAGGAATGATACTAGCTTCGTGCGCACACACGTGCGCACGCATGCACATTAACTGCAGAAATCA